ACAAATATCAGTAAATAAACAGACATGATATTTAAACAGTGAAAACAAAGATAAATATATTTCAAACTTTCAACCAAAAGACAAAACAAAGACAAATACTAACTTCACAGTGTTAAAGTAAAAAGTTTAGCAGTTTTGGCAGCAACCGAATAAATTTACTAAGCAATCTAAGTGAAATGGTTAATTTAAGTGAAATTACGAGTAAATTTATCATCAAGTTAAATATGGAAAATCTTAAACTTACCTCGTTGCGTAGAGTATGAACCTCATTCTACAACGATACTACCATCTCACGTAGAGCGGCAACCTCACCACGTAAAGTAGACACCTCCACACGCCATGCACCATCGTTATCGCGTAGAGTACTGATCTCCTCACGCAAGGCATTGACCTCATCACGTAACTCCCTTGACTCATCCCATGGAGGTGGAGAACAGGGAGATAGAAGTCGTGGCATCTTTGTCGGTCGCCTATCATGAGGTGATGGTGGAGAAGAGACTCGATGATGTGACGGGATAGGTGATGGCTCTCGTTGTAGAGGTGTATAGTCGGGTCGATCAGGTGATGGCTCTGGGTGAGGTGATGGCTCTCGAAGTGGAGGAAGTGGAGGTTGCTCATCATTCGTGCCATCAAAAAAATGCTGACTAGCTTGCCACCAATCAGTGGCAAGCTCAGCCTCCGTGGGTGTCAGTCTCATTAATGGAGTGTTGGCCTCCTAAAAATATAAAAACTAAAACAAAGTTAAACGTCTACTATTAATAACTTGTTTATATATGATAGTATTTGTGTTAACTTACATTATTTATTGTCGCATATGGTATTAAGTCTTCCCAATCCAACATACGTTTCCTCTTCCAGGAAAAAGCCCTAGGAATATCATCTGAGGATTTTAATGCATATGTCTGCATGCTGGGGAAAGCCTCGAATATCCAAATCTACAAACAATATAATAACAAACATTAGTAATTGTTAAATAATTAATTATAATTTTGAAAACATTATATAGAAATTCTTACCTTAAAGGCCCAAACAAAACCTGACAAAGTGTATTTCGACCCATCGCCCCGCAAACTTTTGCGGTCATCAAAGGCAGACGACAACTTAGTCCAGGTAGCTTTCCATATATATGAACCCCACGGAAACAGATTCTATGCATTTAGGTCCTCTACCAATAATATTAGCTCCTGAGGAATAGGTTGTCTGGCCTCTCTGCCTAAAAAGCCGGCATACAAAAGTAGTAGAAGGCATACTCGAACAACATCGACGTCATTCATCCGAGTAAAACCATCTTTCTTATTAAACAATTTCTTCATGTCGTCGACGTGTAAGTTCGGCTTCTCTATTGACTCATCAGGAAAAACCCTGGATAACCATGATGGGCGGGTGATATGACGAGTGTACCGGCCTACATCATCGTGTCCGAATCGTAGACCAGTGATTAAGCAGAACTCCTTCCGCCCAAAACAAGTATACGCCGGTGGAAAATGAAACCATATCTCTTCCTCACCACGTTGTATACTGTCGGGTAGATTGCTAGTCATGGTCTGAAGCCACAAATGGGTCAAACTAGCATCTCCACCCGGATGCTGTACTCTCAGCCATGGCCCGAAGCAGGTTTCTTCAAACAATTTTCTTTGTGCAGTTGAAAGCTTCGAAGCAATTGTAGTGGCTAGGCTAACTTTATTCCTTAATGTCAATGAAGCCGAAAAAAATTTCTACAAAAAAACAATAAACATACCAAGTTAGATATACCAAAAATTACACTGTCAAGATATACCAAAAACAAAACAATAAACATAAATAGTAGTTTATTCTTGAAACTAAAATTTGCAACACTGTTTTTGTCTTTTGGTTGAAATGAAAATCACAACGAGATAATGAGAATCGCAACGCGGAAATGACTATCGCAACGAGAGAATCGCAACGCGAAATGACTATCGCGACCAGACAATCGCAACACGAAATGAAAATCGCAACCGCGAAATAAAAATCGCAACGCGAAATGAAAATCGCAACGCGAAATGAAAATCGCAATGCGATTTTGGTTTCGCGTTGCGATTTTTATTTCGCTTTGCGATTATCTCGTTGCAATAGTTATTTCCGGGTTGCGATTTTCATTCTCGAAACTATTCTTCTTCTGCATTACTTCAACCAAAAGACAAAGCAAAGACAAATACTAACTTCACAGGCTAAACAGTTTAGCAGTATTGACAGCAATCGAATGAATTTAATAAGAAATCTAAGTGAAATGGTTAATCTATTATTGAAATTACCAGTAAACTTATCATCAATCTCAATATGAAAAACCTAAAATAATGCAAAAATTTTAAAATAAAAATAAAAAAACTAACCCTCGGAGGTTGATTTTCCATTTCTGAATGATTGTGAGGGATTTTTGACTGTGAATGGTTGTGAGGGATTTCGCCGGCGATGGGGACGGAAATCTTCGGAGATGGGGACGGATTTCGCCGTAGAGAGTGAGAGATGGAGATGGGACTGAGTGTTGTGTTTTTGGGTTTGAGGTTATGAGTTGCGATTACTGTGGACGGTTCATTTTCCGATTTATTAAGAAAAAATTTGTGTTTGGAATTTGAAAAAAAAATACGCGTTAATACGAATGGCGCTATGTAAATCGCGTTGCGAAAGTCAGAATCGCGTTGCGAAAGTCAGTATCTCGTTGCGATTTTGTATTATCGCATTGCGATAGTCAGTATCGCATTGCGATTTTCCCAATTCGCGTTGCGATTTACTTATTCGCATTGCGATTTTCCCAATTCGCGTTGCGATTTACTTATTCGCATTGCGAATTGGGAAAATCGCAACGATACTGTAGACCATCGCAACGCGATTTTCAACTATCACATTGCGAAAATGCAACGCGAATTTGCGATAATGGAGATCGCGTTGCGAATTAGCGATCGCATTGCGATTTTGTTGGTCATTTTGGCAAATCCGGAAAATGTTGGTTAAAATCGTATATTATATGGGATTTTTGGTCACTGAGGTTATTTTCTCATAAAAATATGGTTTGGACATTTTTTATACAAGTATTATTTAAGAGGGTTTTAAGTTTTAACCAATGTTATTAAAACCGGACCAGCCGATTCGACCGGTTGAACCGTGAACCGGTGGCCTGTCTGGTCCGATTAACTTCCAAAACCGGATGAGCACAGAACCGGTAAAGAACCGGTAGAACCGACTGAGAACCGGCAAAATCGGGGTGAACCGGCTGAAAATCGACAAAACCGGTGTGAACGAGCCGAGTTGAAGTCGAGTACTGCTGAGCTCGACTCAAACTCGAAAACTTTAAAAGTAAGCTCAACTTGACTCAAAAACTCACGAGCTAAAAATTATCAAGTTCAACTCGAACTCGAAATATAATATTGAAACTTGAAATTGAAAAGGCTCGAACTCAAAAAAAAATTAAAAGCTCAATTGAAGCGAAAGAATTGTTCGTTCTGTGCTCACCAAAAGGCTCCATGATTTTGAATGTCAAATTACCTCTAGTATTTATAGAAGTCAGTTGGGATGCTCTTCTATGTTTCTTAGCCATGTGGGTTTTTTAAAAAAAAAAATTAAACCAAACGATATCGTTTGTTATGATTTTTTTCAGCCCCAAATTTATTTTTTGATTATAGTTATATAATTATATTTATTATTTAATATGTTTTACCTTAAATATTATGTTGTAGTTGATTTGAATCATTTTATTTCACTTGATTTTATGTTTTTTAAACTTATATATGTTATGACTTGTGATATTTTTATACCTTTTAATGTTGTAAACTTAAAAAAAGTGTTATATATATATATATATATATTTATATTAATTTGAATATTATGTAAAATTTTAAAAAATATATTTTTTATATAAAATCTGGTTGAACCGCAGTTGAACCCGATTAAACCAGTGAACCAGTACCTTCACCGGTTCAAAGTTCGGTCCGGTTTTAAAAACATTGGTTTTAACATTCTAAAAGAGTTTGAAAAGGTTGAATGAGAAACACCCGATTTAAAACTCAAAAATCTTAAAACAGTTATGAGGTAGAGAAGTTACAAAGTTGAAATAACTTGTGCTACTGTTCCAGGTAACGCCAGTGGAGTGGCTTACCAACCTACCTTTCCAATATAAGTTGTCGTCCTGAATATCTTCCTTCTGATCTCGGTCCCTACAACTCACTTAACCCATCACCAACTCAGAAGAAAGACAAGTGAGGAATTTGTTGTTCTTTCCCCTCTCCCATTACCAAGATTTCATGAGTACCATTTCCAAGCTTTCAGCCCCATTGTTTCTCAAGTAAATCAGTTTCGCCTTTATTCTCACTACGACAATGGCTGAACATACGTTTTTCACCCTCCAACATGTTGCTCAACACAAATCCAAGAACGACTGTTGGCTCGTCATCCACGGCAGAGTAACCCTGCTTTCTTTTTCACTCAAACCAACCCATTATAAACTCATCTGTCTGTAATAAATAATCAGAGACTTGGCTAATTCTTTCAGGTTCTGAACGTATCCAAGTTCTTGGAAGAACTCCTCCTGGATGTTGGAATCGGCTGGGAAGGACGCGACGAAAGAATTCAACGACCTCGGACATAGCAAGACAGCTAAGAACTTGGTCTTCAAGTACCGGGTTGGTGTTATCCAGGGTTACAGTTCAAACAACAATGAACATTTCCAGGTTGCTTCAACTGAGGAACCTATGAAGAGAGATACGAGTGCTTTTGTTATCAGGGATGAGCATAAACCTAAATTTGCCAGCCTTCTCGAGTTCATCATACCACTGCTGGTTGCTGCTTCCTATTTCTGTTACAGATACCTGACAAGAGGCTCATAAATGTTGTAATCGATTTGGTTTTCACGATGAACCATCATCCATCAAGTCAACCTCAAAATACCCATTTCTTCCCTTGAAATAAATCTCAGTCTGAATGCTAGTAATGTTAGAATTTTACTCAAAATTTAGTACTATTATTGTCCCTTCAGGTTATTGCAATGTGTTACCAACTTACCATATTTCGATTATTATTACAATATTGTAGCAACAGACGTTTTCTCTTTTCCCCTTCCATATCCTAATTGGTTACAATAGAAAAGAAAAGGAAAAGGTGGGAAAGGGAGGATTCAAATGATACAGGCTATTAATACAATTTACCAAGGAAAACAGAGAATATGGATTAAATGATCGGACAGCCTCAGTTCAACTCCCTAATCCCTCAGATCCTTACTGAACTACAGGATCTGCCCTTCATCAGAAAAACCGAAGTTGGAAGGGAGAGGCAAGAAGTGGTCAAGGGAAAGAGAAGGAACAAATGGTGCTCTTGCTTTTCATCATGCTACCTTCTCCTTAGATGTAAACAGGCAAATCATCTGGTGAAAGCATAATATGTGCAACATATACACCTCAAGGACTTTAGACCAAAAAATTTGCCACTGATTATAAATTGCTGGTCCAAGTGTGTCCTATTCATATGTTATGCAATACGATCAAAACTGCATAGGATAAAAAAGAAGTTTAAGCTTCATAAACTTAGCTAACTAAATTTCAAAAATATGAATTTGGTTACATAATATTGCATAAGGCAAAGCAAACGACTTTTGCAGTAACATATTAGGCACTTAAGTCTTGGTTCTAATTATCTTAATACATCCCATGTTATTTCAGGCTTGCCATTGTTTTCTACCAGCATACGGTTAATCCTTCACATGATATATTTTTGCTATCTAAACCATTGAAGTAATCAAACTTTGACTTGTTTACCATCTAATTGCCAAAAACTCTACCAACAACAAAACCAAATAGTTTTGAAATCCTTCAACCAGATAGATTCAATGCCATTATTTTTATATCAACCAAAATTCTCCATTCTATTCAACCTGCTGTATCTTTATCAATAACAACTTACTAGTTTCTCTTCTTTTAAGAACAATCAGTCCTAGAGACCAAAAATGGTGCATTTACGAAATTTGTTTCTTTGAAAATTTATATTCCATTTTTATCTTATAAACTGCTAAGATTTTGATGTACTATGTTCCTGATTTCAGTCTCATTTATTTAAATGGTTTGTCCACATTTAGTATGCATTTGGAATCTCAAGCTCTAATGATTCACTAATATTATGAACTAAGGAATCTAAGGTCCTATGGGATTAGATATGCATATCTATTTTTTACTGGTCTCTGGGGTTACATTTTTTCCACTTAAAATTTTCTTCTTCTGGTCACTCTCCAGATCACACTGCCTTATGCCCCATTGCAATGAGAATTCACCATTTAAGCCAAGCAGCACAAAACACAGATAACAGCCAAAGAATGAAATGCCTTTACTAATGATGAAAAAAACATTGGTAAAGATTTTTCACAAATTAGAAAAATGAAAGAAATTGCATAATTGATGGGAAAGAGCATGTAAACTTTGCTTGTAAACAGATAAGCAGAAAAAATCTGCAACAAACCCTAAAAAGGATGAAAAAGAAAATGAGAGAACATCAGGAAAGCTCACCAATCAAGCAGATGAACATTAAAGCCCAAACTGCTATATTAGTAAACGGGTTACTTTTCGTTTGATGCTGAGACCTTCGAAGCTGTCTTTGAATAGACTCATACCAACCATTAAGTTGCTTATCATCACTATCCACACCACCACTATTCTTTTCATAGCATTCATCATTTCCCTGCAAGAGGAAAAGATAAAAACTAATGGAACTGCTTAGAATATGGTAACGAAAAGTGAAAAATCGAAAAACTATAACTCATTTAATACAGCGGTAGAATTTCACCCTAGGCAACTCCGGAGGTCTCAACAACCCTGCATTAGACCCTTGATGACAAGAAATTACCTTTGACTTCCTGATGCTATTCTTTGACAACTCCTCCGTGGCTGCAGATTCCTTGGAACTTAGGGAACCAGAGCTTGGTGCCCTTCGTGGTGGAAGAATGGACCTACCATTGGAAGAGTTTTTCTGTGAAACATCATCTAAAATTGCAATCTTCCAAGCACCAATGTCAGCAGCACTAGCAGCTCTCCTGATCCCAACTGACTTCTCGCTGTTAGCCTCAGATGAGCTCAACTCAATAGACTGAACTGCATTCTTCAAGAAATCTGGTGCCGATTCTCTATTGACCCCTCGTCGACTTTCATTTCCCCTAACTGGTTTCTTAGGACGTGTCGAACCTCTGGTTAGATGCGGTGCGGACAAAAATAAAGCTAGTTCATTGCGTTCACCTTCATCCAAATGCATTGATGATTTAACCTCTGAACAGGCTGATTCCTGCAAATATTTTTCAATCTTTAAACTCTGATCCTTAAGTGCTGAGATGAAATCACAATGCCTATCTCTAGCTTCCTCGCTCGGGGAACTCAATTGAACAGCCCTTTCAAACTCCTCTAACTGCAAACAATTCAAATTCCTTAAGATCCTGAACCAATTCATGAACGAACCAATCATGAAAATAATGATAGAATGCATAAGATGACCTGCCATTTGGTAGTGCTAATAGCTGTACGTAGATCCCTACCAAGTTCCTCTAAATTCCATGCAGAAGAATCGTCTTTTATCGCGTGTATCCATGTCCTATATGTCGATTCCATCCTTTTGAAACGCGGAAACAACCCAAATTTTCAACCAAATAATGGACTAATTGAAATTCTAAATATTAGTTTTATCATTTAGGAATCAAATTCATGATTAAAAGTTATAAATTTTCTTTAGATTCGGATTATGAGTATAAACCAAATAAAATTAATAAAAATTATGAACCCTAAATAAGAATAGGAAGAGATTTACCTGTCAGCGGATTGCTGTACTTCTTCAGCAACAGAGAAGAAAGGATCCTTTTCCCACCGATCAAAACTCGAAGCCATTTCAAAAGAAACGGAGAAATCTTTTAATTAATTAATTAATTAAAAGAAACAGATAATAAAGTATCCTCCGTTTCAATTAATTAATCAATTAAGAACGATTAAATGAAACCAAATGAACGAACATTATCCGATTTTTTTTATTTTTTTATTTTTTGAAAATGAAAATATGAAGTTCCTACAAAAATTCCGGAACTGAAGGCGATGATCATCGAAATCTATTAAGATTTGCATTTTGGTAAATGAATGAGAAATTACAAGCGGGAGAGGCGGAGACCGATTTATTTAAAACGGCAGGAAAGAAAGGACTCACAAGTTCATAGGCATAGGCATCGGCATAGGAATAGCAGCATTTACTGATCGAAATTGGACCTTAACATAAAGTGTAAATTTCATATTTAATATCTAAATTATCATTTCTAGTTGTTTTAATATTTAATTTTTTAATTTTTTTAAAGTTATACTTAAATTTAATTTTTATTTCATTTTAGTATTGATGTGACTATCTTTCGGGTGGGTTCGAAATTAGGCTTTGACTTGAATAAAATGATTTAGAGTCGCCACCGATCATTTTAAAAATATATTTAGGTTGATCGGACACCATCTTACCTGATCTGCGTTTTACCATAAATGTGTCTGGTTCGGGAGTCAATTACGGTCAATGAATGATTAGCACCCTTGAACCGTCCTTTTGGTACCAATTAATTTGTCGTTGTCTTAATTACGAAAATTAAAATTAAAATTCAATTCGAATTAATTAGCTCTGATTAATCGAAAGTATCCCACTTTTAATTTCAGATTTACTTGCATTTCTCGACACACCATGGATAGTGTAATAATCAGTTTCAGCTCTAACAATGAACTGTGATCCCCTACGATGGTGTGATGTTTGAGATGACCTCATAAATGATAACAATGGTAAGGAATCACGTGAAAACAATCCTGAACTTGATGATCCCATTCCCAAATAACTCATTGTATTTGTCTCCCAATCTGGCTTTCATTATTCGGTTTGGGATATAAGGACGCATTGCAAATTGAGGACGGATACTCCACTGGGCACCGAATGTGCTTCCACATGGTATAATGAGCATCCAATTACCGAAATGAATAAGCATTCACAACATTCAATTACCGATAAATCTGAATTTACGATACATGGAATAAAAAATTCAAAATTTTTGTTCCACAAACGGCTTCAGAAATTTATTTTACCTCTTCGAATGCTTTATCATCGACTTGAAGAATTTCAATAAAAATAATTACTGGATCTCCATGACCAGTGCTATGGAAACAAATAGATATTGTGCCATCGAAAAGAAACACAAGGGCTTCAACAAACGACTGCTTATCATTGCTGGTCCAACCAGAAAGCTGACCGAAGTAAGCCCGTCTCGTTTGATGTACGAAATCTGGGAATTAGGAACCCAGGCCTGAACCATGCACGTCAAAGACTGGAACTGATTCAAACTCAGTGAGTCACCCACGAACATGATCTTCTTCCCCCTCCATTTCCTCGAGAAATACAACCCATTGAACTAGGGGAGACTGCAGGAGAATGGTTGCCATCGGAACTTGAGATAATTGATATCGGGACGGCCGTACTTTTGGCAATCGAACTCGAGCTCGATGAAGGGGCATTTGAAAGGGTCGTAGAGAGGATATGAAGAGTCGTAAACCCATTCCCCCCTGAACCAGTTGCAACTCCGCCCCCCTCCGTTTTATAATTTCCTTGAATTCTCTGTTGTGGAGATAGTGCTTGTTGAGCTTCAATTTGTTAGTGGAAATGTAGAAGTACTGGAATGGGTAGGTGGGGTAATGGGTGGTTGTTGAGATAATGGTGGATTGAACATGGGGCTTGCAAAAATAAAATTAATAGCATTAATAATAATATAATAATAATTATTATTATTATTAATAATAATAAATAATTATTATAATAACAATAATAATATATATATATTTTTTAAGCCCGATCAAAAACGAGTGTTTACAGCTGCCCCTCTTTGCACATTTTTGTGTTAACAAGAATAGGGCAAAGATGAAAAAGACAACAAGTTTTTGTCCAATTCTCTTTGATTTGAGACTTGATAGTGTTTGTTGTGACACTAAGTCGATCCATTGGACACGATATCCTTCTTCGTGAAGTTGAAATCGTGGGTGACTCATTCTTTGTGAAGTTGAGTTGAACTGTAAAATCTTGAGCATGATATCATTCGTCGTGAAGTCGAAATCAAACTCAAAGCTTTGGAAAGTAGCTCCTGGATCGTCTCCTAGCTCAAGATACTTCGTCGTGACGATGAAACTTGACCTGAAGACTTTGGTGTTGTTGTGTTACAGATGACTCCTTCGTCGTGAATTTGGGTCAATCTTTTGGGTGCGATATCCTTCGTCGTGAAGTTGAAATCGTATATGGCTCATTTGTTGTGAAGTTGAGCTTTGAATTGGATATCCTTCGTTGTGAAGTTGAAATCCAATCTTGTGTAAGTTGCGTTATTTCGAGTCCAATATCTTTCACCGTGAAGTTGAAATTGACTCTGAATGAAACTGGAAAGCTTCTTCGCTCTGAAGTTGAGCTTTGAATTGGATATCATTCATTGTGAAGTTGAAATCCAATATAGAGATTGATGCAGCTTGTGGGCACGATATCCTTCATCGTGAAGTTGAAATCGTGGATGGCCCCTTCATTGTGAAGTTGAGCCTTGAATTGGATATCCTTCGTCGTGGAGTTGAAATCCAATCTAGAGTTGTATGCTGCTTGTGGGCACGATATCCTTTGTCGTGAAGTTGAAATCGTGGATGGCCCCTTCGTTGTGAAGTTGAGTCTTGAATTGGTTATCCTTCGCCGTGAAATTGAAATCCAATCTAGAGTTGTATGCATCTTGTGGGCACGATATCCTTCGTCGTGAAGTTGAAATCCAATCTAAAGATGAATGTTGCTGGTGGGCACGATATCCTTTGTCGTGAAGTTGAAATCATGGATGGCCCATTCGTTGTGTAGTTGAGCCTTGAATTGGATATCATTCGTTGTGAAGTTGAAATACAAGGGTTGTTTCACCAAATTGGTTTTGAGTTGGATATCCTTCGTCGTGAAGTTGAAATCCAATCTCGAGTAAATTGTGTCACTTCGAGTCCAATATCCTTCGTTGTGAAGTTGAAATTGACTCTGAATGAAACTAGAAAGTTGTTTGTTGAGTCCAATATCCTTCGTTGTGAAGTTGAAATTGACTCTAAATGAAACTGGAAAGTTGTTTGTTGAGTCCAATATCCTTCGTTGTGAAGTTGAAATTGACTCTGAATGAAACTGGAAAGTTAATTGTTGAGTCGAATATCCTTCGCTGTGAAGTTGAAATTGACTCTGAATAAAACTAGAAAGTTGTTTGTTGAGTTGAATATCCTTCGCTGTGAAGTTGAAATTAACACTGAATGAAACTGGAAAGTTGTTTGTTGAGTCTAATATTCTTCGCTGTAAAGTTGAAATTGACTCTGAATGAAACTGAAAAGTTGTTTGTTGAGTCCAATATCCTTCGCTGTGAAGTTGAAATTGACTCTAAATGAAACTGGAAAGTTGTTTGTTGAGTCCAATATCCTTCGCTATAAAGTTGAAATTGACTCTAAAAGTTGCAAAAAATTATATATGCAAAAAAAATGTTGAATGTGATGCTCTTAAGTATGTCTAAAATGCATGCAACATGAATTGGTTATTTTATCTTCGGGATGGAGTCTCATTTTTGTCTGCCAGTCTTGTACTCGGGATCGACTATGCCCCATTTTCTTCTCGGGTTGCAGCCTTTCACATTTGAGACTGTCCTGTTTGAAAATATTTTTTCCTTTCTCTTATTTTAGGAGGGAAAAAAAGATATAAGAAGTCTATAAAACATTGCTCCTTAATTCATGTTTACAATCGAATCAAATCATAAACATGAATTCAAAGTATATCAAAGGAATCAATAGCTCTTTTAATGCTTTCAGAGTTATAGCTCTTTGACAAATATCTGAATTGATGAGTTGGCTCCAGGTTGGCTTCCTAATTTCTAAGGTTTCAACCATCAAAAAACGTCATTTTTTCTCGGTCATTGCAACGTGCCTTTTTCTTAGCTTGGCATTTTAATTGGATGCGAACAAAATGACGCAACTAGCATGATCAATTACTAGACCTTCTATTTCGGTCCTCTGAAATACTCCATTTTTTCAAGCTTCGTAGGCTCCTCTAACAATGGTAGTGCAAAAATATCGGTCTAAAAATGAAATTCTTGAGTGCTCGTGTGAAATTGACTATAACAGGTGCTTTTTAACTCCCTTAGTCCATTATTACCGAAAATTTCTTGTTTAGATAAATTTGATTTAATTTGTCGCTGTCTGGCTAGCCGAATCCATAAAGCTGAGCGTTTAACCAATTTCTTTAGAGGGACAACTTAACATTATAATCACTTTTATCAGGTTAACTGAAGGGTTCGTTTCGTCACAAATTCTTCGGCCTGACAATAGCAGTGGAGCAAACACTGAATTACCAAGTGTCCGAGCAATGTCATGGTTTGAACTCAATATATTCATAAAGCCAGGGCTCTCGAGTTCCCTCTATAACCAATTGCCTTAGTGGAATTGCTCAACTTTACGGATTTAATTTCTTACGATTGTCAAGAAGAACCTGTTATAGTCTAGGTGTTTGTTGAAAGTAAAAAAAAGTCATCTTTAGAGTTCAATTTCCAAGCAACTACCTAAACTAGATTCACCTACTCTGCTATTCCATCTGTAAAGATCATAACCGTCATTAAACGTCTTAAACAAAAAGTATAGTAAAGTCATATGTGAAAGAGGCCCCATGTTGTCTGCACCTATGCACACCTAAATACCAAGCCTCTTTTTTCTTTCCCTTACGAGAGGAGAAGGCTATATTGGTTATTCGCAAGAGAAGCGTACGGTGTTTGAGCATATCTTCTTGGGTAAGGTCAAAGTCCTTGTTTTACCACTTTTAAATCATGTTACTTTGTCAAAGATCTGTAACTCTGAATCATTTACAGAGTTTTTTTAATTCAGTTGATATTCAAA